CCGGCCAGCATAATGAGAACAAAGGAAGGGATTGGGTATTTTTTTTCGCTTTTCTTTGCTCTCCCCCCTTCTCCCCCCAGCTTGTCATGGAATTGGTGCAGCTCCGAAAGGTGCTTCCAAAGCCAGCAGGCGACAACATTTCTACCAGGCTACCTTCATGTTAGCATTTGCAAACCGGGACCGTACTTTCCCTTTGATGCATTCTTAAACCCACATCCAAGGCTGATACATTTCAGTAGATGCAGATTTTATTAGAGAAAATGAATTGAAGCAGCTTTACACAATTACTTCAATTACAGTTCAGTAACACAATCAATGCTATGATCCTATTTTCTATATTCAAACCGTGCGCTCATCAATTCTAGTCAAGGTCTACAGGGAAACATACTAAATATGTATACAAATACTGTAGGATTAAATGGTATATATACCACTCCACTCTTGTGGACTTTCTGGGTTTCTAACAAAATCAAGTATAGAAAATACTAAATCAAGTGAAAAACCATTTTGCATTCCAGTTGGCATCACTGCAGTGACATTTTTACTGAATCCTTGTGGTAGTGCTCATAGCTCCAGCGAATAGTTTACCTAGATTCACTGGGATTAGTGGGTTTTCACTTAATTTAAAACATTACCTCTGTGTATGAAATATGCCCAAAGATAGTAAAAACAGTGCCAAAACAGAAAACCATAATTATATTGAATGGTTACTGTAAGTGATGATTTGCCCATGACATGATCATGTTCTGTAATTTACCTCTGAGAACTGGGCACAGAATCACTGTGCCGGTGAAGTAAAGGACCATTTTACTCACAAGTAATTCCTAGAAGCAAAATTACAGATAAGTGTTCTAGAGCAGCCCTTTGAAAATAATGGTCCTTTGATTTACAGGAGCAGTCATTTAACGGAATAATGTATCAAACCTGCAAAGTGTAGTATAATACCCTTTGGGACTAGCAAACTCTGCAATAAATATAGACACACCTGAGCATCGGAACAAATAATGGCTGATCTGTTATCAATGCATGTCAGAGACTATAACCAGAGGAATGGCTTGCACACTGGAAAATTAGTCTATTTTTGCAGCTCTGTCAGCTCCTCTAATGCAAGATATTCTCCCTCCAAACCTTGCTGCAGGAATAATCATTATTTCAAGAGGAAACATCCCTAGACAAGTTCATGTAGATCTCCCGGAGGCAATGCCAGTCACAATTAATAACTTGCACCCCAGGAACTGTGGCCCTGGCTATCACAACAAACACCTTTGGAGTCTGCTCAATGAATATGTCCCTTTCACAGGGCCAGTCACAGGCATCCACAAGACATTCAACTGTGCCTTCATCTGCATACAAATATAACCAGCAACACAACACAAAACAGATGACTTGCTGGCACCTGTGGCTGCTCCCTCACCTCTGTACTTCTCTCATTCAGCCTGCTGATCCTGCACGTGTTTTGTTTGAACATACACACCCTTCTCTCCATCTGCAAACCCCCCTTCCAGGGATGACCTCCCACAAGGATTACGTTTTAGCCTTTGCTTGCAACCACCCTGCATTTATGTGACCTTTCATTGCATTAGACGAGTCCCCACAGGCTCCGAGAACAAACCCCAGCCCTCTAGAGGGACATACACATGCTAACCATCAGAGATCTTCCCCCCCCTCTGTCAAGCACCCCTCATAAAAAAACCATATCCATCCTCAACCCTGTTCCTACACTTCAGTTCCCACTCCTGGAGGCACTTTCAAAAACTCCCCTGTGCAGTAAGCATGCTCAGGACTGTGGCAGACAGCCTTCTGGGGACACAGCCTACGGGGGCTGACGGTGGGCACTGCGCGGAGTGGAAGAAAGTGCACAGAGGGCTAGTAAACTGCCTCTCAAACGGTTGTATCCAGTCTGCCGTTCCTTCACCAACAACAGGGAGCAGCACTTCTCTGACGCCTGGAAGAGATTATGCTGAATTTATATTCTCCCTTGATTAAAACCCAAGCTTCTAGCCCTTCTAAATGTTGTGTTGCCGTGTTCACATCCTGAATTTGCAGGCAGATGGGATTATGCTGAAGTGCAGAGAAAAAGATAGACTTGCCCACATTCATCTTGCAGAAAGCCTCACTGAAAACCCTATGAAGAAAATGTACATTATTAATTGATATAGCAGGAAAATACAGCTGTTTTGTATAGTGTTTAAGTAGAATATAACTACTTTCTTTGCAGCTGTAACAATTCTGAGAATCTAGTATGATATCTGTATATGTGGGTATAAAGGAAGAGGGGAGACAGGGGTGAAAAGAAAGTGGGAGAATGATGTTAAAGGGGAAGAAACATCTACTCCAAGCAGGGAATTTTAAAAGGCAATTCTTATTTAGCATCCTTAATTTTTTGAGTGTGGTGAAAAGGCTCTGAACACTTTCTTGAAGAGCAGTCCTACCAGCAGAAAGCCAAAGTACTGGAGAGAAAGGATGACATGCAGAATAGCAGCATATACCAAGTGCTGAGATGTGCTACTACTGTTTTAACCAGGCACTCCCTGACAAATAATTTATTTGTCCCCATACTTGTGATTTAGCAAAATGTATTTTCTACCCTGAGCACATGCACACACGCATGTAGAGTCCCATACACTCCAGTACATCCACACCAAAACTTAGCATTCTCTCCAGCTCCCACTGCCACTCAGTTCTTCTAATCCAGTTATAATGCCTTTCGTCATCCCCTGTGACTGGGATGTTGCTTTTTTCCCCCATCTGGTCCACACAGAACCATTAGTGGCTTATCCTGCAACCTCATTTGCAGGTTTTCTCCTGAGGCTGGACAGGTGGCTAGTAAATGGGACTCCCCTGGTTAGGCAGCATCGAGGGGCTGCCTAAATGCAATTCTTTTAAGATTCCCTACTTTACCAGTTATCACTTTTGTGAGGCTCATACAAGCTTTGCAGAAAAAGAAACACTGTCCAAGCTAGAGATTCTCTGTCTTTTACCTAAAGGCAGGTCTGCATCCCCAGCGCTACCTTACCAACACTTCCATGGGGAGAAAAGAAGGATCATATCCTTATGCCCTGTACAGCCATCATGCCGGGGACATGAATAATACATGCCTATGCTCAGACCTGTGTCATCATGTGCACCACATATGAGACTTCTGTAACTGCTCCCCATCTTCTGCTGCATTTTCAGCTTTGCGCTGGCCTCCCCTGGCTCTTGGGTACTAGGACAGATGCAACTGGCTGATCCAAGCCATCAGGGGCTGATGAGCAGCACCCAATACGTGCCATTACATAGCAGGAGTGGCAGCGGTGTGGCTGCTGGGAGCTGTCGTTCAGTGGGACACTCCCACAGGGTGAAATGAGTGACCGATCCCATGTGGGGGTCTCGCAGGCTGAGAAAGGAGAAATGGAGGTAGTCTGCAGAGGCTGCATTCATCTACCCATACACACACACGTACACACAAACTACACATGCTACGGCATACCTGACTAAGGACACCTTGGGGACGTCCAGTCTTTTCACAAATACTCCCTCTTGGTCCATCCCTATCACTGACAGTGGCTGTGGAGCTTCAGCCTCACCAAAATAAAAATATGATGCTGAGATGTGGCGAGACATACACCAGCCTCTAGAGGCTTAATCTGCCCACAGGACTCCCCTCAGTGGTGGTGGGACTAGAGATGTCTGCTTCGACGCATTTTGTGGGGACAGGGACCCCATGAATGTGCCTCATGGGACGACATGGGTGACTCCTTTTTTTCTTTGCCATGTGTTGACTAAATAACATTCCCATCATGGCAGATGGTGAGGAAGCCATCTGAAGCTGAGAAGAAACTGAAGGGGTTAAAGGCAAATCCGTGCCTCCTCCACTTGGTTAATTCTCCAGCAGCCTGATCCTGTGTTGAGACGATTCAGGCCAGAGAGAGAGACTGCCACGGTCCCCAAGGGAGACCCCAGAGAAAAGACTCTTATTTCCTGTTCAGGAGGATTAAGTACAAGGCCATTGACAAATCACAGTAAACATCTGGATGTGAGCACTCCATCTATCAAGGCCTAATCCACGAAGTTATTCATTAATGAATTCAGCAAATTCACACTGTTCTATATATAGGGTTGGCTGATCTTTTTTAATGTTTGGCTTGAAGGTGGTTTACATCTCTATCAACAGATTTTTATTTATTGTACAAAGCAATCTACTGTATCCTGGTTTTGCTTAATTAATTGTTTAGAGTAATTCTTCTGCCTTTTTTAAAAATCACACACTGCCAGGTTTTCTGATAGTGTAAAAACTGGTTTTGCTTAATTAATTGTTTAGAGTAATTCTTCTGCCTTTTTTAAAAATCACACACTGCCATATTTTCTGATAGTGTAAAAAAATAAACCCAATAGTTAAAAAACCCAACCATTCCTGCATTTTATATTGTTTTTTAATTTTAAGCCCAAGTTCCTCTGGAAACTTTCCATCACACAGTGATGGAAAAAACATTAAATAGGAATTTATTTTCTTTTCTGTATTTTGTTTTGATTAAAATAGGAATCCCTCTCATTTATCTTCAGAGAGAAAGTAAGCATTGAGTAAATGGTCTGGTTAGTTCAAAAGTAATTTGATCAGAACATATATTGTTTTTTAATTTTAAGCCCAAGTTCCTCTGGAAACTTTCCATCACACAGTGATGGAAAAAACATTAAATAGGAATTTATTTTCTTTTCTGTATTTTGTTTTGATTAAAATAGGAATCCCTCTCATTTATCTTCAGAGAGAAAGTAAGCATTGAGTAAATGGTCTGGTTAGTTCAAAAGTAATTTGATCAGAACATCCATAATTTACATCGACTTGAACAGCAGGAAAGATGCTGAGCACTACCAGATATCAAGCTTATCCATTTAAACAGACTACTTACATTATGCTTTACATCTCGTGAATGTAAACTACTTTAAGAACATATAATGACCCACATTTTATAAGGGGGAGGCTTGCACACAACTGTGCCTTTAAAAGTCATCTGTTGAGCTTGAGTACCACTCCAGTCTGCTCACACACAAACCTGGCCATGTAGCTGAGTGCACTGTTTTTCACACAGCTGTGCCATCTTGTTTCCAGTGAAATCTGCAGGCTTTGTCATTGATATTGGTGGAATCAGCATTTGGCCCAGAGGTTTTTATAAATCCAGCTGCGACAGGATATTTTCAATTCACCCTCAAAGCTTTGGACTCTGCCAGACAGCATGAATCATCCAAACTTGCAATTTATAATTTCCAGCCCTTTTGACTTACAGTGCATTATTGTGGTGTAATCTTTAACTTTAGGGACTTGATTTTAAAGTGGAAATCTCATTCTGTGCCTTTATTCGCTTTTAAGTTCCAGCAGCACGTACCTCTACTCTGAGGTTTTATCTCTTGTCACAACAGGATGCCCCAAGTGGACAGCACCAACCGTGATAACCCAATTTAAAACAGAAGAATGAAGACGAGTGCAATCTGAAGGAGGAAAGAATCAAGACCTGCAGAGCCACTCAGCTATACCTATGCAATTTTATCTTCACTGCTAGTGCAAATACTCTCAACAAGTGAATTTTGTTTGCATCGATGCTTTTGTAATGGCTCTACTCCATACCAATATCTATTTCTGTATGCAAAGCGTGGGGTTTCTGGGCAAACTTGATCCCTCCTTATCACCCAACTGAAAATGCTTAATTTTCATCCTATACCTATTGAAGTCACACTGACAAAAAGCTCTTACCATTTCAAAAGTGCAAGATCAGGCCACTCACTCAGGCTGTGAGAAAGAGGAACAGGAATAGATATATCAAAGGTTGCATGTCTAGGACAAATAGTTACAGTGGCATGTGATTTAGGTGATCAGTCACTTACTGCAAGTTGTCAGGTGGCAAATTCATACTTTTGTATTTTGTTACCAGCTATGTGGCTAGTCACAGTCCAGAATCCACTGCAGTAAGCTCTGTCATACACAGACACAAATTAAGCTGCATAGGCTGCTTTAAAAAAGCTAAATGACATGTTTACAAATTTATATATTTTAAAAAAGAGTGGATTTGCAAAAACATTGAGTAATCTCATACAAATTTCCTGCTCATTTCTAATTTTTAAGCAGTCATGAATTATGAATGAATCAAGGAAAAATCAAAATATTTGATGCTTACTCTGGTATAAAATTATTAGTAAAGCCCTTGAAATTAGTAACTACACTCTGAAAAAGCTTATGTGAGGGGAAACTGAGGTTGAGACCTACTCATGATCCCCTCACATATAGGAAAAAGATCTAAATTAATTAGATTTCTTTGTAAGCAGAGATAATTTAGCCAGCTGCAGGAAAGTATGCTCTACCATGAAACTAGGGGGCCAAATGTACCAATGATTTAAGTAGGATAGGGCCATAAGTGAATCATTAAGTGGACAGGAGTAATGAAAGAGTTTTACTTGCACTAAGTCTTCAATGCTGGAGAGGCATCTGGGGAAACTCTCAGCATGAATACAGTATGTTAGACACACAGCAGATTTTTTTCCTGCCTTACCAAGCAAAGGGAGGAATGGAGGACCCACCCAGAAGTTTATTATTTAAAGGTCTAACAAAAGTAGCATTCTAGTATGCAAAAGCAGTACAATCTATATAGTAAGTAGCGTGGAGAAATATTTGGCAGAAAGAAAACCAGCTAGCACACAGATGTAAAATAAGCCCTGCGTTGCTTTTCATACTCACCAGTGAAAATCAGAAGACTACTCAAATCAATGGAATGACATTTATAATGTATCATTGTGGTAATGTAAACAAATCCTTTGTGTACGTGTGTGAAGGGGAGGAGGGCAAGGAATGGAAGAATACTGTTTTATCTTATACATATCCAGGTAGTAGCTAAAGGAAAGGTTTAGCGTCTGAACACAGACCAGTGATGAACAAGTCGCGTTTATTTTGCATAGCCACTAAACTCCAAGTTGGTGTAGAGCATACAATTTTTTTGTGTACACCCATTTGCTAGGTTCAGGCTAGCATCTAATCCTCTGGACATGCCCGGAGGAGTTAGACTTCTTTACATTTGAGGTGAATTTGGCTTGGCAATGGCAATGCACCATGTTACTAATTCTAATCATTTGTGTTTCAACTGTAAAAAAATCACTACTCCATAATACTTGTTTTAATTGACAAAGCAGAATGCAATAAATAAATACCACTTTGTAGTTTTAAATCTGAATTTAGGATTTTCAAAGCACTACCAGATCAAAACTTTAACAGTATTTAACTGTCTGCAGATGTATATAAGTGCCAAATTCTAGTTGTAATCGATTTAGGAGCAAAAAAGGAGCCAATAAGTGACGTGATAAAGTCAATGGAGCTATGCAGTTTTGCACTAGCCAATGAATTGACTTTATACATTTTGTATTAATACTCGTACAAATTGGTAGTGGAGATGGTTGCTTATGGTGGTGTAAAGCTTTTTCTCTTTGATGAGAAGCAAAATCTTAAAATTATAATAACAACAACAACAAATCGGAGGAAAAAAGTTATTAATAGGGAACCTCAATCTATTCTATTAAAAAATATGGCATCTATAAGGAGCAATGCCAAGTAGTCTTCATGCATTAAAAGTTCTCTATGGTTATGACAGCAACCAAAGGCAAATAAGCATTCCAGAAAATGGTACATGATGATTCTTACTGCATTAGTTTCTTACTTAGGATGAAAGTGCTAATAATGCTTTCTTTAGCTTCAGAACAGCGAAGGAACAGAGGCACGTGTCCAGTTGGACAACGTAATGTCCAATTTCCTTCATGCTTATGCTAATGTAAACCATCAGGGCTTATGCTTATGCTGATATAAACTTAAACCATCAGAGCCATATAGCTGTAATTCACCCCAGTCCTAGTGGGAGCTTCCTTAATAGGAAAGGCTGGGATGCAGTGTACAGGTGAGTGCATCCTGCAGTCCCACTGAGTTCCTGGCTGCTGCTGTTTCCTGGACACTGCTTTCAAGGCTGGAGGCACCTGACCCTGCCTGATCTAGAATGGTAAGATGAGATAGTCTTATGAATGCAAAGAAACCCTCTATAGCCTAAGAAATGAGCCAAGGAGTCATGGTTGGATGCTAGACCTTGCAAACTGAGCTAACAGATGGAAGGGAAGGAAGAGATCTTCTGGTGCTAATTTCATAAAGGCTGCTGTGTTGATGACTACTTGGCTTGGCTTTGCATCAGTTTCAATTAAGTGTGCTTAATTTGAGTCTGCACACATGAGCCTCGCACACACTCCCCAAATACATTTTCTTCATGCAATCATGTTAGAAGCAGCAGAGAATGTGCAAGTTCATCAGACCGTGCTCACTCTTCTCTTTGATTTTCTTTAAGTTAGCTTCTCCTGCTTTCCCCTAATGTAGGTCCGATAGTAGAAGTGTAGGAAGAGAGCAATGAGGCTGAGAATGTAGAGGAAGACTGCAGTGTTGAAGCCATCGGGGAACGGGCATTCTGTGAAGAGGTTGTAGGAAGAATGAGCAGCAATGGCTACAAACTGGCACTGGAAGAGGGGGAAAAAAGAAGCAGCCAGATTAGGGATCCTACATGAGACATACCCCAACTGACTGTTTGGTCCATCATAAAGAGCATCACAACATATTAGTAGTGTCCTCAACACAGAGTACCACCTGTTTGCCTCTCCTGACATCCCTGAAAAACTTGTCTTTCAAGCCTAACAGTGTCTTCCTAAAATGAAAGCGTGTCACGTGTCCACCAAACATTGAGGCTTGCCCACTGCTGCAGAGAGCAGGTTTGGAATCCAGCCTCTCCCGCCTAGGAGCAGACCGCTGCCCTTGTGCCAATTCTCTGCCACTGGCCAGTAACTGAGATCTTGGAATATGGAAACTAAAGGTGGGAGACTCTTCTCTTCCCTGATGGTAATCAGATTATTATATTCATAACAATTTTGATTTGTATTTTAGCTTACAGAGAAGAACTACAGATGCTACTTTTAATCATTTAAACATGAATCCTTTTTTTTAATATTTTCAGAATCATAGAATCAGAATAGTTTGGGTTGGAAGGGACCTTTAAAGGTCATCTAGTCCAGCGGCCCTGCAATGAGCAGGGACATCTTCAACTAGATCAGGTTGCTCAGAGCCCCGTCCAGCCTGACCTTGAACGTTTCCAGGGATGGGGCATCTACCACCTCTCTGGGCAACCTGTTCAAATGCTTCACTACCCTGACTGTAAAAAATTTCTTCCTTACATCTAGTCTAAATCTCTTTTAGTTTAAAACCATTACACTTTGTCCGATCACAGCAGGCCCTGCTAAAAGGCTTGTCCCCATCTTTCTTATAAGCCCCCTTTAAGTATTGAAAGGCCACAACAAGGTCTCCCTGGAGCCTTCTCTTCTCTAGGCTGAACAACCCCAACGCTCTCAGCCTTTCGCTCTCCTCTGGACCCGCTCCAACAGGTCCATATCTTTTCCTGAGCTAAGGACTCCAGAGCTGGACACAGTACTTATTTTACTGTCACCTGTCTCAATATACTGAAGCAATGAGTTCTACCTACTGAAAGTATGTTAAATAAAAACTGATTTCCTGTGCTATATTTTGCATTACAAATATCTTTTCATTTCATGCAATGCTTTCTTGTTCTGCTTTTGCCATTCAGGGTAAATAAGAATTCTGGACCAAGCCTTTACTGCACCACTATTTTACATCTACCCTAGCTCTTCCTTCTCTTCTTTGGTAACTGCATACTTTTTGTTTGCATAACCTCTCTTTGTGTGGAATTAACTCTCCCACATGCTTAACTATAATCATTGTCCTTGTCTGGAACATTGCTTTTATGCTGTGTCTTTGAAAACCATAGGGTTGTCAGGATTTGTCATCTCTTCAGAGATGAGGGAAAGAAAATTCAAAGGGATTCTCTACAGAAAGAGTAAAACTCACATATTTTTCTTTAACTCGCCTCTGTTTGCCTGCAGTTAGACACACTCTTCCTTTTTGAAGAAAGAGAATGAAGGCTGCCCAATTTCCTGCCCTACCAAGAATCCAAAGTTTTCCTGAGTTACCATCCCACACCTCTCAAAATCAAGCTGTGTTTTCAGGGCTCCGGAGGGTAAAAGGCTGTCATATACAACAGAAAAGGGAGAAGTCTAATTTTAATTTTTCTCTCTCCTTCCCATTACAAAGGTGGGGGCTTATTAGTTGATATGGTCACTGAAGGCCTCTTGCTAGTTTTCTGAGTACCATTCAGAGCAGGTCACCAATCAGTTCACCTCTCATAGTGGTACACTAGGACACCTAAGGACATGGTGACTTCCATAGGCAGCAAATAGAAAGAATTGAGCCAGTGAGGGGACAGAGACAGACAGCAGGGGCCATCACACCCGACACAAGGAAATGCAGAAATGAACACATGGAACTAATTACCAGCTGCATGATGGTTAGGTAACGCTTCCACCATAGGTAACGGTGCATCTGTGGTCCCAGGCTGGCCAGGGCATAATAGCCATACATGAAGATGTGTACAAAGGAGTTTAGCATCCCAATAAAGAATGCTGAGGAGTAAAGAAGTCAGGATGAACAAGACACACAAACCATTCAAGACTAACCCTGTGATGAGCTCACAGCCACTACGAGGATGCTTTCAAAATACATCATATCACCCCTATGCATGAACCTTCAATCCAGACTCCGCCTAGGAAGCCTGTCATATTCTCCCTTCTTTCAGCATATATCCATCCTATATCTAGTGTTCAGAGACAGAGAAGAGCTTCAAAGGCAGAGGAGAGAATTCTTGATCTAAGCATTTCACACCATTCTGGTGTCAAGGCCATGTAGCCAAAATGGCTTCCCAAAAAAGAATACCCCAGCATCTTGTATAGGGCCTACCTATAGCGGTCTAGTACTCTGTGTCAGCTTCAGATGCTTCTCTTTGGTGGAGTGAAAAGGAGAAGCAGTCTGGATACAGACCAGAAAGGGAGTGAGGACTTGGCTGGACCCAGTCAGAGCAGGAGAGCCAGAACCTGGGCTGCTGCACCAGGCCCAGCTGAATGGGGACTGAGAGAGCACTGGTCTGGGTGGAGATATAAATAGATCTTGTATGGGATGTGATTGTTTCTGTTTGGACAAGGAACAACTGGCACATGCTTGTTCTGGATGAGGCAGTGAATATAGCAGTCTAAATAGCCCAAAGAGCTGAGCAGATGGTATCAACTGAAATGCACATGTTTTTCACACCTTTGGTGAGCTTCCTACCTGCCAGTCAGCCCATCTGCACTGTTCACGCTATCTCCACAACACAAGAAAAACTGAAACATGAGGTGTCTACAGAAGCATACCTTGTCCTCCAGGCACATATTTGACCCCTGACCACCAGTTGAACAGCATAGTGCCATGATGGTACACATGCAGAAAAGTCACCTGTTCTTGTTTCTTGCGCACAATAAAGAAAACCTGAAAGAAGCCAGACAAAGGAAAATCTTGAGTTGATGTGTTTAGACAAAAGATTTTACACTAAGAATGGTAAGAATAGTTGATTATAATTCTGAACCTCCCAAACCCATTTCCTCTGCTGTAGATAAAAACTGGTGAAATTCAACACATGCGATAGATCTTATATTATCTGGAATGGGGAAGAACTGGAGGGTAGAATTTCTTCCACAGAGCCTCAACTATTTTTACCTTTGGATTCAGGTCCGAAGGTCCAAAGAGGACACATATGAGTCTCTGACTGAGCTTCCATATAATTTGCAGCTGCTTGGGTCTGATCCTTTTCAGGACATAGGTTAGATGTTTACTAGTACCAGAGAATGATCCACAGGAAAAGTGCTATGTTGAATGCCCAAACCCTTCTGGAATTTGCATTAGTAGAGAATGATTTTGGCACATGAATATGTGTCAGGTCAGTGTATTTCAGCGCGTGCACACACACACATATACACAAAAAGTGAATCTGCTTTTCAGGGACTCAGGACTATCAAAAAGCTGCTTTCGTTGCTGATGAAAACAGAGAGCAAATTGGTCAACGCACTGGCAATAGGCCTAGGAGGGCTCCACATGCCGATTCACTTTTCAGACAGTGTGTTGTCAACTTATCTCCCAAACAGCACTAGACTGAAGTCTTAGACAGGCTAGGATACAGCTTACTCCTGCTGACCAAGCGGGGAGATGGGATTCCCTTGTTAGTTCAGTCAACTATTTATAATATAGGAGGAGACCTGAAGACAAGCTATAAAATGGTACTGTCTTCAGGTGAACTTTCAACTTCACATGGGACACAAACCTTTAACCCACAACTTTGGGATAATCTGTGGCAGCAAAAATACCAGGACACATACTTGGACGTTTGCAGTTTCTTTACTGCCCAACTAACCATTATTATTCAGCCAGACAGGCAATGGCAGATCCTGTCTGCCAGCCTTAATCAACTGGTAGCTAAGATTTTGGGGGACCATCTGGAAATAGCCACAGTTAAAGCTTCTCCCCTAGCACTGTGGTTAGGAGGGAATACCCGCCCGCAGGAGGGGTGCTGGTGAGTGAACATGTGCAGCCACTGGGACAGAGATGGGCAAATCGGGCAGCAGTGATTCTTTTCTTCTGGAAAGAAACTTTTGAGGAAGCCTAGCAGCATGATATCCAGTGGTGGTGCTGGACTCTTGCAGGTCAAATGCTGTCAAAAACCAGCACACTGAAGCTGAACCCTCTTCTTTAACACTATCAGCCTTATTCCCACAAACAGGCAGAGCAGAACACATGAAAACAACATTTACTGAAAAGCATCAACCAAATCAATACAGGATCAACCGAGGACATTAGCTTTTGGCACCCTGCCCCATTCTGACAAGGGAGTGATTTATTTACAGCACCAGTCCCGCTATGGAGCCGAGCCGAGCCCTCCTTACCGTATCAAGCAGCTCGATGACTTTGGAGAAGAAGAACCACCAACACACTCTTGCCATCTGCTGGGCAGCACAAAGAAACGCTGTTAGACCTCAAAGCAAAATAACTGCTCGGTCTCACTGCCTGAGATTTTCAACTATGCACTATGTGAACGCTGCCCACCTGGGATCGACAGCAAAGGGGAAAAAATAAGGGGCTCTTTTATGGCTGGGGGGGGGTGTTTTTTTTTTTTTTTTTTTTTTTTTTTTTTTTTTTTTTTTTTTTTTTTTTTTTTTTTTTTTTTTTTTTTTTTTTTTTTTTTTTTTTTTTTTTTTTTTTTTTTTTTTTTTTTTTTTTTTTTTTTTTTTTGGTTGCTCTGGCTGGAGGAAAGGCATTCAGGGTTGCTTTGGCTGGTTAGATGATTGGTTTGCTAAGTTGCTTGCTCTTTGACGAGACAAGGGTGAGCTGCTCAGAAGCTGTTTCTAGCCTGATGGCAATATCTGGAAAACTGAAAAGGTAACATTCATGCTTGCATCTGTTCAAATCCTGGACAGCTTTGTTCAAAGCCTGGAAGCAAAGCATAATAGCTCTGAATTCAAACAGAAAAAAACTCATGCAGCATTTTGGAAAGCTGAAGCTGGTGAGACCCAACCCCCCCCTGTGATGACCAGACAAGGAATAGTTTAGCGAAATCCCTCTGCTAAAAGAAATGCTGAGTAAGATTTATGTCATGCAAAGTTGAGGATATAAAAATTGGTTTTCTCATTGATAGTGATCACTCAGAATCCTTACATAGTCAATGGAAAGAGTTACATATATTTCAGAGGTAATTTGCAATATCTATACTAGACATCTATCTTCAGATGGTAGGATCACCTTCTCTCTAGCGATCAAAGAGGGAACTTAGTTGGCTATGTTGATTGAGATGATTAATTTGTAGAGAACTAAAGCAAAGTGCAACTGTTGAAGCAGACAATTTAGTGAAATATTTACAAGCAACAAACTGGAGTAAAAGCCTTCTTAGGCATGCAAATTGCTATTTATGAGCAAAACAATCCGCATACCCACAGGAGGAGCAGGGCCTAAGGCAAGCTTTGTATAGAACTATACCCTCATTCCTAGTTCACTTCGGCTGTAATCCACTGGCTGGCACAGGTAGCTGTAGTTGTCCAAGATTGAAGTTACCAGAAACTGAAACAAAAGAAAAGCAATAGAGATCCATTTTCTGTTCAGTGCCATCTGTTCCAAAAAGATGTATATATTAATGCTAAGGTAAGGTCTCAATCTAGTACTCACTGACAGAAAATCCACGCAATTTTTACAGCTGAGCAAATAGTAAAAACCTAAACCAAAGTACTTCACATCCCTGTTGGAATCTGAAAAAGAAATTTCAGCCTGGGCATATTTGTAATGCTTTATGTAATCACTGGAGTGCTCAAAAATGCTTCAGCAGGGATATTGAATTCTAGGCTTCAGAATCTCTCTGAAAATACACTGTTTTCCTTTGCAAAGATCCCATACTGTTTTGTTTTGGCTGGTTGCATTTGCCTATTAATTGGAAAGCCAAAAACTGGACCAAGTAACCAGTATAACTGAACAATCAAGCACAGACAAGCAATTTTCATACCTGTCCTCAGATTGAGTTGTATTTGCTCAAAAAAATTGCAATTTGCTTTAACTAAATGTAGCAATTGTGTTATAAACTAAAAGGGCAAATTTGTCGGCATCAAAATGTTTTTCAAACCTATTAGGCCATGTTCCCTTGAAGAGTTTTCAGTGGCCTACATAAACTAGGGAAAGGCTTGTAGAAAGGCTTATGCACTGAGAACAAGCAGAAAACAATGTCATCAATAGTCTCGGCAGCAGGAAGCTGCAGTGTGCTTGGCACTCTTGGAGAGGACTGCAAAAGTCTGGAAAAGCAGTTCTCATTCTCAGAGACGCGTCCCTCACCAGCCAGACCCGAGATGAAATGAGGAGGTTCCACACGCTGCATACGCTCTGTGTCTACTGGGGAGATCTCAACATTCAATTCGTTCATTCAGGAACCTTTCAATGTTAATTTTATGAATGAGAAGAAGGTTGAGAAATGGGAGGAAATGAGGTATGCTTTGGAAATAACACTTTCAGTGGGGCAATACTGCTCCTCTTGTGGCAAAACGTAGACATGTCCAAATTGGCTCCCACTCCCTTCACTAGAGTCTGTCAGCAAAATCTGTTGAAATGGCTCTGGCTTTCAAACACTTCCTGGATGCTTACCCAGGAGGGGCCAGTCGTGTCTTCTCACCTCGTAAAACATGTAGCTTGATAATGTCATCATGGCGAGATTGTAGGCAATCAGCAGGCCTCGCAGCTTCAGCAGTTTCCGCTTACGCATGTAGAAGGGCCCCAGTGCCACGACAAAGAGGTAGAAGGCAAAGAGAAGTGTGACTGGAAGTGGAGAGTGGACCAGGGGCCATGGGTCTGTCCTTGGATCTGAAAGGCAAAACACACAGCCAAAGCTGGCACATCGCGTACAGTGTATGGCAGATATATTTAATTACTACCCTTCAGCATGCTCTCTGTGGCATGCTCTCTGGCAAAAAGAAAATTGGTCTCTCGTGTCTGTACAAAGCAGTGCCACAGTCCTTCTCCTACCCTGGAACTCCATGTGCCAGACTCTGCTAAAAGACTTCAGCACAACATTCGGGTTGGGACTGTCATACCTAGAGACTGCTCTGCTGAGCACCATCCTTCTGCAGCACAGTAATGAACAGACCTTCCCTGTCATGAGCTGGACTCCTCATCAAAGGCTGCAAGACTGTCCCACACACAGGCGAAAGAAGTAGTTCAAGACACATGCAGCAGGGATGCACAGAACAAACCAAACAGTTCCTGGCTCTTCAGGAGTGTAAATCTTTACAGCTAAAAAATAAAATTGTTTCAATCACTGGTGCTATTTCCTTCCTGCCCCACAATGCTCAGGACATATGAAATTCTCCACCCCTTCATTTTTATATCTACTTATAGGGTGGACTCTCTTAAAAGCATACCATTTCACTGGAAAACGACAAAACACTTCTCCCTGCTAAAACTGCTCTTCAGTCCTTCAGCAAAGGGAAGCTCAACAGATTTTCTGTCATGCCACCTCCTCCTAATCCTGCCTCATCCCTGACCCACAGAAATGCAGGACAGATTATATCTGCAAAAACATCCCAGTTCCCATTCATGCTTTCCTCTCCTATTCCCAGTGTGGTCACTGCTCTGCTAAACTCCCTCAGCATCTCTCTTTGCTTCCTGACCTGCCAGTCCCAAGCCCCAGACCCCTCTCACTATTCTAGATCCAGGATCCTTGCAGAAGTCCTCTATTGAATTTTAGTCCTTGGCTCAGGGTATTTTTTTAAAAATGCCATCCCTGTCCACACGACTCTGTTAATCCCCATCCCTTCTAAACCTCCCAATTCTTTGCTATTCCTGTTATGGGCTGTGTCAAGAGCTCTTTGATATTCCACTTCTGGATTTAACAGTCCGTCAGAAGTCCTGAATCCCAATTTAGACTCTCTTCTGAAATTCAAGCCCTGAAACATTTATTGCCTGAGCACCATGCCCCATGTCCTTCCCCTATCAGAGCCACCGCGCAGGCCTGCCATTCCACCGTCATGCCATTTTGTGGCTTCTCCTTACATTTAACTCTGGGGATCCAACAGAGCCCTGTGGGACCAAACTGGACCTGCAGAACCTCTAGCTATTGGAGATCTGAAGTCTCCTAACTGCAAAATGTCAAATCTCGAACACTGAGGAGTGCTTTCTGTCAATATTTCATTTGATAATAGGTTTTACTGGCATCACAAGGAGTTTAAACTTCAAAGTATTAACTCTTTGGTCTACTAAGCTTTCCCATGACACATGAATATGCATTTTAAAAAATTCACTTTCTTTAATATTCCAGAATTCACAGGCAATCCTGAGCACATATTGCTCATCATCCTGTCAGAGCCTGTTGTACATTGAACAGAAAGCTGCTGAGAGTTCCCTACTACGGGCAGGGGAAATCCCCCATCCCATCATTCCTTACTGTGATCCCTCTGGAGTGTCCCTGAGATATATTTCAAGACTTAAGGGACATTCGTGATCGTGGAGAAGGAAAAGTGAAAATCTGCCTAGTGAAAAAAATGTGGGCTCATATGAGGATCATGTTCCTTCTAGGTTTGTTCTTCATGATCGTGCTATTTATGTGGAAATTCCCATTTAAGACAGCATCTCTACCTACCTCCACTTTCAAGGACCCAGTTGTAGAATTCCTGAGTTTTCTGCCAAATTGAAACCATCACAAGTTCTGGAAAGAAATTAAAAAGAGCAACACCAGGATCAGATTAACCCCATTTATCCTAGCCTTGACTGAATCCTAAATATGGAGGCTCCTTAGACAAAGGCTCAGGACCACAGCTAATGAAAATAAAATAGTTTTCTCTCTGCAGAAATTGAAATTTTGGACCAGAATTAAAGTCATGTTTAAAAAAGGAAGGAAGAGAACCCCCCTGTAATGATTAGCTATTTAATGTTTATTTCCAGATTTTGATATTTTGTTGAAGTTTCACCTCTAGAAATACTCTGAGTAGCTGCATGCGAAATACCAGAGCCAGGAGCTCTGTGTACCATGTTGGGAAATCAATCATGTCATATTTTTTCTAGAGCAGTGTAGGCACAGCAGTCACGCAAGGGCACACACCAGGTGGCATAACTGCATTCTTCTGCAGGCATTCTTGGAGATTCACAATTCTAGCAGGCGGTTTGGGATTAATTCAGTACTGCTGCAACTCCAGAGATGTTAATGGAGCTATGTTCGCTGTTTGGCTTTCTGAGGCCCAGTTTATACATTAAGTTTGTTTTGCTTTATCTTGTATATATTCTATAATATAGTATATTAAACTAGAATATTCATATGTAATGAGTATTCTTCCCTTCTTTCCTTTAGTAGGGACACCTTTTCAATGGCACTTGGAAGTTCACCTGGAAAAGACTTTACTGCAGTTACTTTCAACAGCTTGTGTTATCTGCCCTAGTTCTCTCCATTAGCAAATACACAGGGCTAGCTACCTCCCAGTTCCATCTCCTCCTGATACTGAGGAAAGCACATTTTTGTCTTTGACTTCTCACAGACTGCTGAGCATATGAGTCCCCACAGCTCCTTTGGACCTGCCCCCTACTCTCCTGTGCCCGCTGGGTCCCTGCAGCAAGAACAATAGCTTGTGCATTACATGGCAGGGAAAACTGTAGCCTAATATAAGGCCTCTTATACTGGTACAAATGTGTTTTAAGGACCCTTATGAATATAAACAGTTTTTTCATACCCAGACCACACAGTTCTGCTGGAACTACAAACACATAGAGCATGCCTGGCACTGTTTACCAGTTGTACTTTTGACTTTGCACATCTGGACAAAACCTGTTAAAATTAACAAGGCTTTGCTGTATCCCAGTTGTATACAGATTTACTCTGGTGAACGTAACAAGCAACAAAATGTGGCTATACCTAAACCCCCCTGTCTGCAGACCTCACAGCCTGACATGCAACTGCACACACAGCACCATGTCGGTGACAGAAGCACACTTGCACATGTTTCTCTCCTACAGTTACAGACTGCAATGATTTGCAGTCAAACCCCTTTTTGGTGTGTTTCTCTGACACATACCCCAAGACCCTCAGCACAAGCACATCTCATATGCATCTGTGCTGGTTTTGTCTGGGGTAGAGTTAATTTTCTTCATAGTAGCTAGTGTGAGGCTATGTTTTGGATTTGGAGAAGGTACACCTTGAAGCATCTGTGGCTGTGGGTAAGTCCATGCTGCAGCAGGTACACCTTGAAGCATCAGTGGCTGTGCATGAGGTCACGTTGGAGCATCTCAAAGTGTGTGGCCATGGATAAGCCCACGACAGAGCAGGTACACCCCTGGAAGGACTGCAGCCATGGGTAAGGCCATGTTGGAACAGGTTTACTTCTGAAGGGACTGTGGCTGTGGATAAGTCTATGCCACAGCAGGTATACCCCTGAAGAGACTGTGGCTCATAGGTAAGGCTCCACTTGGAGCAGGTACACCTCTAAGGGACTGCAGTCTATGGAAAAGTCCAAGCCGGAGCAGGGGCAAGGGGAGGAGTTCATTGCAATGTTAAACCCGATGGTCTGGCCCAAAGGGACCAGGGGTGGACATTGTAATGGAAATACCTTTAAATTGTTGTATCCCATGATTTGAGTTGTGTGTTATAGTAATTACTATAGCAGGAACCACCTGAACCAATGGAGGACAAGCCTTACAAGAAGCAGTGCAAGTGCAGCAGTGACCCGACCTGAGCTGGCTTTGGTGCCCAGTAACTC